TCAGTAATGAGAACTTGGGCCCATTTTTTTTTCAAACCTGGAAGGGCCGAGTATGTTCGTATCCCTTCCGACCTCCCAGGCAAAATCAATGGTGTAAAGTCTATTAGAATATCGGACAACTTTGGTTTGTCGTTATCGGTTTATTTTTTTTCGGGGGGAGGGGAGGTTGCAGCACTGGGAGAATAATATTTCTTTCTAACGTGAATTTTCCTACCCCGTAACAGTTTTCCAGATTTGAGAGACTTCAGAAGGTGGGACATCTAAAATGGAGATGTCAGAGATCTCTTTGGGTCTAGAAGGGCCTGACAAAGTAACGGAATAATTCTAATTTTAGAGAAGGCAAGTGGTGAGGAAAACCACCGGGGGAAGCTTTGCTTCTGTTTGTATTTCTGGATAGAAACAGGACTGCCCTGGGGTCTCCCGGGAAAAGGAGGCTTGCTGGGAGTTAAATCCTTGTGTCCTGTCTTCTCTCAGCTTTAGTCCTCATGCTGGGATGGCAGAAGATAAACCTGATGCTAAGAGCCCCAAGACTGGGGCAAGGCCCCAAGGTGGTGCTGAAGCTGGGGAACCCACCACCCTTCTTCAAAGGCTCCGAGGTACCATTTCGTAAGTAATCAATCGCTGTGCCTCTAAACCGGCTGTAGGTCCTTGTTGCCCTTCACTCCCCTCAGGCAAGTGTTGAAGAGCAGGCCGAGGTCTGTGGTCTTTTTCTGTCTCTAGCAGTCAGACAGAGGGATGGGAAAACCTTGTGACCTCCGGCTTTTCTTCCTCTCCACAGCAAGGCCGTGCAGAACAAAGTAGAGGGAATTCTGGTAAGCATGTTGGGAAAGGGCAACAGAGGTGGCATTGCTGAGGGGTGGGGATGGTGGTGGCGGCGTGAGAAAATAATAAAGGGTTATGTGGGAGAGGCTTCATCCTTCTGTGACCTATGGAGAGAGAGAGAAAATCAGACCCAATCCCTCCCCCTTTTCCCTTCCTCTCCATGGAAGCCCATAAGGTTCCTCAGTACAGTGAACCCTCAACCTCAAGTCATTTCTCAGGTCCCTTTTCATTCTGACAGCCTGACTTAGAGTCAGCTGGACTTTATGGTCAAGATCAAAAGATTATTCACTGGGGCCTTGGCTTCATTTCTCCTACCTCTGTTCCCTTCTGCCTCAGCAAGAAGTACAGAAGTTCTCTGACAATGACAAGCTGTATCTCTACCTTCAGCTCCCTTCAGGGCCCAGCATTGGAGATAAAAGGTACTTGGTGGTAGTGTTTTGGATGTCACAGGTTCTGATTTTAAGTCTCATTGTGATGAGTCAAAAAGTGTGTGTGTGGGTAGAGGGGTTGGAGAGATGGCTCAGGGGTTAAGAGCACTGACTGCTCTTGCATAGGACCCAGGTTCTATTCCCGGCATGGCAGCTCACAACCATCTGTAACTCCAGTTCTGGGAACCGTGATACTACTTTCTGACCTCCATGGGAACCAGGCACATACATGTAGACAGAACACTCATACACACAATCTTTAAAAAAAAAAAAAAAAAGTAGGAGATGCATAGCTGGTGTCCTGCCCTGGCTTGGTTTACCCAAGAAAGATGGGTTTCCAGCACCATTGAAATATGTGTGTCCCTTTTGCTTGTCTTACAGCTCAGAGCCAAGTATACTTAGCAATGAGGAATATATGTATGCCTATAGGTGGATTCGCAACCACCTGGAAGAGCACATGGATACCTGTCTGCCAAAGCAGAGCGTCTATGATGCCTATCGGTAAGGAAAGTGGTGCTTGGGTTGTTGGGCACAGGACTAGACCCTTACCCCTCAAGTTTGTCCTGCCTTGCTGGAGTGTGACCTCTTAAAGGGTTCCCCTACTTGGTCCTTAGGGATCCTCTGAGCCCACCAGTAGCCTTCTCTGAATATCTTCTCACTCTACCCTCTCCTCACTCAGAAAGTACTGTGAGAGTCTTGCCTGTTGCCGCCCACTCAGCACAGCCAACTTTGGTAAAATCATCAGAGAGATCTTCCCTGACATCAAGGCCCGAAGACTGGGTGGTCGGGGCCAATCCAAGTATCCTTGACTGAAAGATTAGGACTGGAGGACCTGGGAGGAAAAGGTATGATACAGAAACAGCCTAACTTGCCTAAGAGGCTTGAAGAGCCCCAGATTTTGGCTGCTCCTTAACTTTCATCAGATACTGCTACAGTGGCATCCGAAGGAAGACCTTGGTATCTATGCCACCATTGCCTGGACTTGACCTAAAGGGTTCTGAGAGTGTAAGTAATGATTCTCTCTCCCAGGTAAAAGACAGAGGTCTTTAGGACTTGTTTGATAGCTGTGGAAACCAGTCATTCATACATTGCTTCTGGTGGACCATCTGTCTGCCTTCTCTGTGGCGGAAGCATGGGGGGAAGAGATTTGAGTTTCTGGGTCTTAATGGGTAGGAGCTACTTCTGTCTTTAGTCTAGTCTCTGCTCTAGTCAGTAGTAGAGGAGGGATACGTCATTTACTTGATAATCCGACTCAGTTTGTCTTTCTTCAATCCAGCCAGAAATGGGCCCAGAAGTAACCCCAGCACCTCGGGATGAACTGGTAGAGGCAGCCTGCGCCCTGACTTGTGACTGGGCAGAGCGGATCCTGAAACGGTCCTTCAGTTCCATTGTTCAGGTGGCCCGCTACCTACTGCAGCAGCACCTCATCTCTGCCCGATCTGCACATGCTCATGTGCTTAAGGCTGGGGGCCTTGCTGGTGGGTGGACCTGCTCTTATGTCCGAGAAATCTTCAGACACTTTTACCTTATAGCTTTTCTTCTTTTGTGTGTGGGGTGGGGGTAGTGCAGAGTCTCACTATGTTACCAAAGATGGACTAGAACTCCTGGGCTCTAGCAGTCCTCCTGCCTCAACCTCCCAACAGGCACACACCTGTTGTACACTGATTCCATTTTCAGCTCTAAAGGCCTTCCTGAATACAAGAGTAGACACACCTTGGATTTCCTTCTCTTCCCAGTGATCCTTCTTGTGGTGTGGGTGGATAGGTGTGCAGGCCAGGTGGAACTCAAGTCATGCTTTTGTGGCAAGCATGTAACCAACTGAATTATCAGCCCAGCCCCTCCTGGAGCTGCTGCTTAGACGTGCTTTAAATATGCTTTCCCAGACTGTCCCAGGCAGTTAGGCAGGTAGATTCGCTTCACTCTCCCATACCTTGGTTTTCTCCTCACCCTTGCTTTATTACTGTTGGGTACCTTTGCAGAAGAAGATGAAAGAGCCCCTCGAGAACGGTCATCATGTAAATCCAAGAATGGTGTAGAGAACCTGGAAGGTGGCGGCCCTAAGAAGCCTGAGAGACCTGCCCAGGTGAGGCAGCTGATGCCTCTGACTTTGTGGCCTAGGGCATGGGGTTTTAGTGTACCCTTCCATCAGTGAACCTCTTGCTTTTTTACTTCTGGTTTACCAAGCCCCTTCTTTTCCTCCTGTATTCAGTCTTTATTAGTTAATTTTAGATTTATTTTATGTGTATGAATGGTTTGCTTGCATGCACGTATGTGTACCATGTGTAAGGGGAGAAGAGAACTTCAGATTCTCTGGATCTAGAGTTACTATTGTGAGCTACCATGTGGATACTGGGAACTGAACCTGGATCCTCTACAGAACAACAAATCTCTTAGTACCTGAGCTATCTCTCCAGCCCCTGTCTTTATACCTTATTATGACTCTGTTTGCCTTTTAGCCTCCTAAAGAGCTAGAAGCCCGAGCTGGAACTGACCCTGCAGGACATGGAGAACGGAAAAAGAGTGTAATTGACAGCTCAGCTCCAGCAGCCAGTAAGCCACAAGTTAATGCCCTTGTGGCCCGACTGCCTGTGCTCCTTCCCCGAGCACCACGATCACTTATTTCACCTATTCTGGCCCCTAAGCTTTCTTCAGGCACTCTGAAAGTAGCTACATTGCCTTTGCCCACTAGGGTTGGAGGACCTCAGGCAGCTGTGCCTATCATTAACATGATCTTACCACCTGTTCCTACTTTATCTGGGGCTGGGGCTGGACTTGGGCTTGGGCCAGGGCCTGGGGTTGGGCCAGGACCTGGGGTTGGGCCAGGGCCTGGGGTTGGGCCAGGGCCTGGGGTCGTGCCTGGACCTGGGCCAGGGCCTGGGGTCGTGCCTGGGCCTGGGCCTGGGCCTGGGCCTGGGCGAGTTCCACCCAGGGCACTCATTCTGCCTAGAGGCACAGAGAACAGGGAGGTAGGCATAAGTGGTGACCCAAGACCCCATGACAAGGGTATCAAAAGGACAGCTGAAGTGCCTCTGAGTGAGGCCATCGGGCAGGACCCACCAGTTAAAGAAGTGAAGCAAGATACAGAGGATACCGTAAGTGAAGCGAAAAGGAAGCGGGGACGCCCTCGAAAAAAGCCAGGTGGGAGTGGGGAGAGACACACTACTCCAGAGAAGGCTGCAGCTGCAGCTGCTGTGAACTCTCCCCGAACTCCAAGGTTACTCTGGGAGACATGGGGCTCAAAAGGGGAAAAAAACATAGTTGGGAGACCAGAGAGACTAGGGCCAGTGGGTGAAGCTGAGCAGGAAGCAGTGCCTACTCAAGGTCAGAGAGACTGTGCTGTTTCCAAAGGAGAAAGGAGCCTGAGTTCCCAGCAAGCCAAAGAAGCAGAAGATAAAATTCCTCTCATCACCTCAAAAGTGAGTGTTATCAAGGGCAGAATTCAAAGGGAGACTCTTCCATTGGTAAAGGGAGAGGCTGGCACTGCAACACAGGGTAACAAAGGGTTAAAGGGGCATGTACTTCAAAGTTCCCTAACCTATGAGCATAAAGACCCCAAAGCAACACCCCCATGATAGACAGACAGGTTTGTGGGAAGAATGGCTATGCTCATGTGAGCTCAACCTGCCTGCCTGGTAGAGGCCCTTCACTGCACCCGCATCTCATTCAGCTAGTCTCTCCCTAAAGGAGCCCATTCGCCTGGCTTATGTAGTGCCTGGTGGCTGCTTCAGACCTTTCCAGCTCAGTACCTTGGCTTCAGTACAACCAGTGAATCTCTAATGACCTTCCCACCTAGATCCCTATGCTCTCCTGGGGGAAACAGAGATAGGGTAAATATGAGTATAGGTTAAGGATATTCTGGTTTCTAATCATAGAAAATTTAGAAGTCACACTTAAGATTAAAGCCATTTATTGGCTTCTGAAATTGGGAAGTCAAGAGGCGGTGCTGGCTCCAGGTGAGACTTGATCAGTTGCTCAGTATGTTTCTCACTGCTTCACCTAATGTACAATCATCCTTAGTTTGGACCACTTCACAGCTGCCAGCACTCCTAGGATTGTGTGTGACCATTATATCTAAGCAGAAAGAAAGGGTATTACAGTGCCAGGAATCCTAGCAAAAGCCCAAAGATTCACTATGATTAAACCAGCCTGGTCAGGTCTATCCTTGACCAACTAGTGTGGCTACAAATATGTTTATGTAATGTGTTTATTATACATCATGGACCAGCTTTGGAAAAAAAAGGGCAGAATTGGCCTTCTCACACCGCAGACTCCCCAGCTGGAGACGGGGTGGAGGGTGGAGAGTTGCAGGAAGTGTTTTAGCTTGGTAGGGTGAGGTGAGCTAGACTGCTGCCTTAGGTTCCCCAAGTGTTAGATTTCTCTCACTGCAGCTGTAACTTATTGTAGTCTGGGAAGGACAGAGAAGGAAGCCATTCTCTTTAGAGTCTCTTAATTCTCACATGACAACTTTTCCATCTCTGCCTCACAGACAGCTCCTTTTAAAGGTCTAAATTTTACTCTCTCAGTCCTGCCCACCAGTCTAGTGCCACTTTCTTGGAGTATATGAGATGCCCGTAGCCATTTCTTTATATTCATTCTGCATCCACCAGGTGTCAGTCTCTTGTCATGCGTGTGTCAGGTCCTAGCCAGGACTGTGGGGGTTAGACTAGATTAACAGAAGAGGTGGTACCAATCTGCAAGTCAGGGAGCACCAGCAGGAAGGATCCAGACACTCCAGGAAACAAACTCATGGTAACTGAGGACCTCCTACTCTGTCCTCTCCACAGGATGGCTTCTTGTCAGGGAATCTTGGTTTTTTTTCCCCAAGAAATACAGATTTTCTTTCAGGGAGGTATCACCCATTACTCCACTTATTTCCACAAGAGCAGATTTTTTAAAAAAAATTATAGTATTTGATATCTATAAAGAAATATGTACTATAAATTATGAAATGTAATGAGTACCTATGACCCATCATTCAATTTATACATTAAAAATACTATTAGGTTTATGCCCCCCTTCCCTGCCTCTGCTTAGAGGTAACCACTGTCTTTAATTTTATGTTCATTAATCACTTGTTTATGTATATTGGCCATGTTTGTATATATTCTTTAAGAATGTATTATTTCTTTTTGCTTGTATTTTAGCTTTACAAAAATGTTATACTGTTAGTCCCTTGAAATTGGCTCTTTTGCACTTACCATTGTTTCTAAGATTCATCTATGTTGTAATAGCTATGGTTCATTCATTTTCATCTGTATAATACTTCGGCAAGCACATAGAACACAACTTACCTAGCCATTCACCTATTGAATAACATTGGGCTGTTTCCAGTTTTTGTTATTATACACAATGCTGCTATGAACATTCTTGTATATGAGTGCCTTTGTTTTTAGTAAGAGGTTTCTAAGAAAGATGGTCCTAAACAGTCCTTTTGGTCTATGTACCCTCTGAGTTGGGGACTGTTGCCTATTGTCTTACTTTATGAAAGAGTTTACATCATATTGAAATGAACTGTTCTTGAATGTTTGATAAAACTCACTTATAAAGCCACCTGAGCCTTCTGTTTTTTTGTGGGCATATTTGTTTTGTTTTGTTTTTTTCAAGACAGTGTCTACTATGTAGCTCTGTTGCCCTACTCACTATGTAGATCAGGCCTACCTCTGCTTCCAAACTGCTGCAATTAAAGATGTGCACCACTGTGCCCAGCTCTTTGTAGACATAACTTTAACTACTGGTTCCAGTTATTTAGTAACTGTAAACTATTTGGGCTCCTTAGTCATTTTTCCAGCTTAGTGTGTATTTCATATCTTTTTTCTTTTTTGGAACAGAATCTTACTATGTAGCTCTGGCTGGCCTGGAACTCACTATGCAGATAAGGTTGGCCTCAAATTCACAGAGGTCCTCCTGCAGATCTCCAGAGTGCTGAGATTGAAGGCAAGCACCTAGCTCATTGTTCTTTTCAAACACAAAGTTAACATACTCTACTTTCCTTTTCATTTCTGCTATTTACTTGTGTAACACCCCCACCCCCATCAATAGTACCAGAAATTTTAGTTGTAAATTTTCAGATGCTACCGTGGGCTTTGTTGGTCCTCTCATTTGTTTTCCATTTCATTAATTATCCATAATGTTTCCTACTTTTTAAAGGTTTGATTTTATGTTTCCATAGTTAGTATCCTCCTCTTCTTAAAGACACATTTATATTCTTGTTTTTAGTAGCCCTGAAAATCACCTTGAACTTTTGAGCCATCTGCCTCTACTTTCCAAGTGCTAGGATTACAGACATGTGCCACCACTCGGTGCTGGGCTGGAACTCAGGGCTTCATGCCTGTTAGGCAAACACTCTAACAACTGAACTAGATACCCTGCCCCTTTTATAATATCATAATTTAGACAGCTGGTTGTAGCTACAGGTTTTTTGAGAGAACTCAAGACAGTCTTCTGTCATCAGCTTCTGAGTGTTGAAATTGCAGGTGTGACCCATGCTGCCTGGCTTCAGGCTTTCTTCTATGTTATGAACCTCCACCCTTAGCTAAGGCTGAGGTTCACATGGTAGGCAGGCACTCAGAGCACTGGGGTACATACTCAGGCTTTGTTTTGTTTCCAGAAAGGGTCTGGGGATGGTATGTATCTCAGGATGTCCTTGGAAGTTTGTGTAGCCCAGACTAGCCCCTAATTTGTAATCCTCCTGCCTCAGCTTCCAAAGTGCTGGGATTACAGGTAAATGTCACATACCAAACTATTTTAAAACTCCACTTTTCCACAACCCATGAGGTTTTCTATGCTATATAACATTTTCGTTATTTAATTTTTAAAATATTCAAATTACCTTCATGACTTTGTATATTATATATGTGTGTGTGTGTGTGCGTGTATTACATATGTACACACATATGTAGAAGAAGCTTGAAATCAGGTGTCTTCCTCAATGGCTCTCACCATATATATAATTCTGCCTCCTACATGCTGGGATTACAGGTAGGCCGTCATGCCCACCAAGCTTTGATTACTCCAGTTCTCACACACAAACAGGCACTTCCCCCATCTCCACAGCTCCCTTTATGACTTGTTTTTTGGTGTCTGTGGTGGGGGTGATCAAACCCAAGACTTTGTGAATGCTCTACCACTAGCTATAACCCTCACACTTTGAGTTATTTTAAAATTTTTATGTTTCCAAATACCCAACAATTTACATTTTAAAAATCTGTTTTGAGACTGATTTTCAACTTTATCATTAATGTTCAAATACTATATCTCTGAAGCAGAGTATGGTGCCTTCATGCCTGTAATTCCAGCACTGGGGAAGCTGAGGCAGGAGGATTATAAGCTTGAGAACAGCCTGTGGGTTATATCATAAATTCCAGGCTAGATTAAGTTGCAGGTGTGAAACCATTTCAGAAAACTAACCAAACAAAGCCAGGTATGGGTCCAGGCCTGTAATCCCATGCTTAGGATGTAGAAACAGAAAGCTCAGAAGTTTAAGGCCAGCCTCAGCTACATGGTGAATTTTAGGCCAGCCAGAGCTGTATGAGAACCTGTCACAACACACACAAAGCAAGGGTTTCGGATGGTGCAGGGTGAGGAACAGAGAGATGGTTCAGGAGTAAGTTCAGTTTCCAGCACCCACATCGGGTCACAACTTGCTTAAATCCAGCTCCAGAGGATCCAATGCCTCTAGGCCCTTCAGGTACCTGCATATGCACACATGTAAGTTTAAATAATTTTAAGAGTATTTAAGAGAATAATCTGATACATAATTTTAAAAACACAATCTCTTCCTCACAAACCTATATAAATATGCACACACACACACACACACACACACACACCACGTCTTTGATATCAATTCTTAGAAATTTCTTGGGATTTTTATGTTTTCTGACTTAACTTGGGTATGTAAATCTGTGATATCTCCTTGTCTGGAATAGTTTGTTTACACATGTATTTTGTGCTTTGGGGTTCTAAATGCATATCTTGTTACTCTACAAGAATCCTAAAGGCCTAAATTAGAGATACTTCTCCATTGGTTTCTCTCGGGAGCCAGGACATACACCAACCTTAGACACAAGCTGGCCCTTGTCAGGAACCCAGAGTTAGTGGGCTGTAGGTTGGTTGGATAGAATGCCCACCACATGGGAGACTAAGGGTTCAAGTGAAGGGAAGTTCCAGTCTTTAACTAGACCTATCTATGGTTTTAACTGTTGCTTGTAGACAGAAATTTCTGTCCTGCAGCCCTTCAGTCCCAAATAAACACACAGAGGCTTATATTAGTTATAAACTGTTTGGCCTATTGCTCGGGCTTATTACTAACTAGCTATACTTACAACTTAAATTAACCCATAATTCTTATCTATGTTTAGCCACATGACAGGGTACCTTTTCTCAGTATGGCATTCTCATCTTGCTTCCCCTGTGTCCAGCTGATGACTCTGCCTTCCTCTTCCCAGAATTCTCCTAGTCTGCTAGTCCCACCTATACTTCCTGCCTGGCTACCGGCCAATTAGTGTTTTATTAAACCAATGCAAATAACAAATCTTTACCGTGTACAAGAGCATTATCCCATATCAGTTCACAATGGTAATTTGAGTGTCTGCTTTTCCTGCATGTTGCTCATCTTTTATGTAGCTTTCAGCATAATGTCTTACATTTTTCTCCTTTAGTGTTCTTCCTTACTTTCTAATGAACTGGACAACATGCTGAAATTATGTGGTAACTATAGCAGACCCAGAATCTTACTGCCTTTTGGTGAGAAAGGTCTTGATTTTATCCATGCTATTATGTATGTGTCTATGAATATGATTCTGCTGTTTCCCCTTGTTTCTCGAAGTGCTAGGCACTCACAACGCTGGTCTATTTAGACAGTCTTCAGACATTCTAGTTGGAAAGACCAACATGTAATTATGTCAACAGTACAGTGCGGGTCATTTTCTGAATGGTAAGCACAGAGAGCCCCCAAAGCCCAAGGAGCACATGTAGATCAGACAGGGGTCGGAGAGGACTTCCTAGAAGAGGTCAGCAGGACACAGTGGGATGATTGTAATTCACAAAGCAGGGATAGCATGGAGCATAGAGGGACCAGAAACCAAGCTCCTGATGGTAGGTACAGGGACGTCAGTGGGGCTGAGTAATGTGGGAGGCAGCATGGGAAGGGCAAGAAAGCATGGAAAGGGTTAGTCAAGTCTATAAAGGAGAAGAGGAGAAGACAAGGAAGCATTCCAGAAGCAAGGCTGTGGACGTGTGGCATGGCAGTATAAAGTGGTGAGTGAAACCATAAGAGATGCATGAATTAAGGTCATTAGACTTGGTGGCAAGTGCTTTTACCCAATGAACCATCTTACTAGCCTAATCTGTGTGGATTATTAAAAATAGCTTTGTCTATCTTTCAGATTTAACTTGGGGGCTGGAGAGATGTTCATTCAATAAAGTGCTCACGGTACAAGCTGCATTTAGATCCCCAGCATCTACCTAAAAGCCAGGCAATGTAGCTCACCTCCAACTTCACTGCTGGGGCATTGGGCAGACATAAGAGGGTCGCTGAAGCTCACTGGCTAGCCAGCCTAGCTGGATCGATGAGCACCTGGTTCAATTAGAGACCACCTTCATAAGTAAGTTGGAAAGCAATCAAGAAACAAACCCAAAGTGGATTTCTGCCATTGAACTAGCTCTGTAGAGCAGGCTGGCCTCAAATTCAAAAAGATCTGCCTATCCCCACCTCCCAAGTGCTGGGACTGAAGGAGGGTGCCACTACGCTCAACCACAATATTTTTTTAAATTGTGTTTTTAGTTAGGTGTCTGTGCATGTATACTACAGTGCTTGAGTTCAGGTCAGGGGGCAACTTGGTGGAGTCAGTTCTCTCGTTTACCATGTGGGTCCTAAGAATCAAACTTAGTAATCAGGCATAGTATCAAGTACATCTGCCCACTGAACTCACTTGTGACCTGACAGTATTTCTTTTGTCTTCTCTCTCCCTCCCTCCCTCCCTCCCTCCCTCCCTCCCTTTCTGTAGCCCCAGCTGTCCTGGAACTCAGAGAGCCACCTGTCTCTTGAGGGATGGGATTAAAGGCATACACTGCCCCCACTCTGGTTCTTTTGCCTATTCATTCATTTATTCATTCATTCATATGTTTTGGTTTTTCGAGACAGGGTTTCTCTGTAGCTTTGGAGCCTATCCTGGCACTCTCTCTGTAGACCAGGCTGGTCTCAACCTCACAGAGACCCCCCTGCCTCTGCCTCCCGAGTGCTGGGATTAAAGGTGTGCACCACCACTGTTGACCAGCTTTGTTTTAAAAAGTTTTATTTATTCTTTGTTAATTTCATAAAATATATCCTTTACCCTTAGCTCCTCCCAGACCTTGCTACCCACCCAACTTCACGTCCTTTCCTCGTGAGCAAAACCACATGGAGGCCCAGTTTGTTTTGACTGATTACTACTGAGAACAGGGCCTGTCCAGAAGTGTAGCTGATAGGACCAATGTCAGTCCTTTGAAGGACACAGATTCTCCCTCTCCCAGCAGCTATCATTTGAGAATGGATTTTTGGTTCAGAGTGAGACTTTGTGCCCACTTCCCCACCTCCATGCTGCGATCACCTCTGACTTGAGCAGGTCTTGTGTGTGCTGTCACACTGAGTTTGTTTGTGCATCTGCTGTGGAAAAGTTTCCTGAAAGTCATTTACCACCTCTGGTTCTTAAAACCTTTCTGCCCCCCTCTTCTGCATAGAACCCTGAGGTCTGAGGGACTGAGCCAACAATATCTCTTAAGAATGGAGGATAGGGCTGGAATACAGCACTTACATGATATGCACAAAGCCTTGGGTTCAGGTCCTAATACCACAAAAAAATGTAAAGAGGGAAGCTACCCACTATGTAAATCAGTATAGAAGTTCTTCAGAAATACTAGAATACTACACCAAGTGAATTCCAGGACTTACATAGATCCTGTCTCAAAATATAGATATATGGTGGACGGTGATGATACATTTACTTAGTAAAGTCGGGATATTTGTTTACTGGAAAGATCATGAGTGCCGACCTTAGTTTTACCACTTACCATATGACTTTCATGTGTGTGTGTGTGTGTGTGTGTGTGTGTGTGTGTGTGTGTGTGTGTGCTGGCACTTGCACACAGGTGACTGTGGATGCAAAAAAAGGATGTCAGATTCCCTCTGGAGCTGAAGTTGCCTGTGCTTGTAAGCCAGCTGACATCTGTAGTCAGTGATAGGAACTGGGAACTGAACTCTGGTCGGCCATAAGAACAGCAAGCACTCAACCACTGAGCTGACTCTCCAGATCCTCAGCATATGGTGTTTTTTGTTTTGTTTTGTGAACATGGATGTTGTGTCTGTCTGTATGTCTGTGTACAGTATGCATGCTGTTGCCTGCAGAGGCCAGAAGGCACTGAATCCTCTGGAGCTGGGGTTACTGAGACTTACGAGCTGCCATGCAGGTTCTAGGAATTGAACCCAGATCCCTTGAAAGAGTAGCCTGTGCTCTTAACTGCTGAGCCATCTGTCCAGCCCCACCATATGATTTTGAACATTTACTGGCTAGTTTTTTTTTTCAAATTTTATATTGCAACCCATTAGTGAACTATAAATCTATTTAAAAGATGCAAAACAATGTTTCTAAAAGGGAAATAAAATAAGTCCCAAAGTATGAGAGTGCTGCATACAGTCAGGTATTAGTTCATGAAACTCTTATTTTGTATTAAATAATGCTCATTTATTTTTCAGTGATCACAGAATAAAATACATTGGATTTTTAAAAAAGGTTGTTTTAAATGTTATATGTGTTTTGCCTGTATGTATTTATGTGTACCATGTATGTGCAGGGGCCAGAAGAGGGCATCAGATCCCCCTGAACCAGAGTTACATGTGGTTGTGAGCTGCTATGTGGATAGTGGGAATTGAACCTGAGTCCTTTACAAGAGCATTGAGTGCTCTTAACCACTGATCTATCTCTCCAGCTCTAGAATCCACATTTAAAAAGCCAGGTTCAGAGCTGGAGAGATGGCTCAGAGGTTAAGAGTTCAATTCCCAACAATACACAAATCCATAATGAGATCTGGTACCCGCTTCTGGCATTCAGGCATATATGCAGGCAGAACACTGTATACATAATAAATCTTAAAAAAGAAAAGAAAGAAAAGCAAATAAAGAGTAAAAAGCCAGGTGCAATGGTATTGTTTATAACCCCAATACTGGGAGGCAAAGACAAGAGGATCGCTGGGGCTAGCTGTCCAGCCAGGACAGTGAAATCCTGTCTCAAAAATATATATAACAAAACCCAAAGTGGATGGCACCTGAGGCAATACCACCAAAAGTTATCCTCTAGCCTCTACAAATGTGTACATGTGCACATATAGACTTACACACCAGCAAACACATGTACATAAACATGCACACAACAGAGGGTCAGTGGTGAGCGATTTAGAGACTAGTGAGAATATCATACTTCAATGTTAAATACTCTTCTCATGGTTTTGCTATTTGAAAATAAGATTTGACTATAATGTACTATGCTTTTCATGGATTTATGATTGACACTTAGAGACTGTGGGGAAGCTAAGCAGCCTGCCAGCATTCAGGAGGTGGGGGTAGGAGGGTCTCAGATTTGAGGCCAGGCTAGGTTACATACACAGTGAGATCCTGTTTTGTCGAGACAGGGTCTCTTTATGTAACTCTGCCTATCCTGAAACTCATTATACAGACCAGGCTGTCCTTGAACTCAAAAATCTGCCTGCCTCTGCTGGGAGGGTACCATACTCAGCTGAAATTTTGGTTATTTTCCCCCCAGACAAAACAAAATAAGACTAAGGCTTTAAAAAATAAAGGAAAATATGAATGTGGAAAAATTAATTTACTCAAACATATGGATTTAAAATATTTTAAATTCACTTTTGAAAAATATAGTTTTCCAAATAAAACATCAGTGAGATACTTCACATTGTTTTACAATTTCCTAAGTCTCCTTTATGCACTACTGAATTCTCATGTCTGCTTCTAAAATCAATCTGATGAGGTATCAACAAATACAAACTGTTCCTATGGTAAAAACAATGGATTCTTAGAATGCAAAGGTAAATGTTTCCCTTCCTGTAGACAGCAGTTCTCAACCTGTGGGTCATGACCCCTTAGACAAACCTCTGTCTCCAAAAATATTTACATTACAATTCATAACAGTAGCAAAATTATAGTAATGAAGTAGCAACAAAAATAACTATGGCTGGGGGTCACCAAACATGAGGAATTGTATTAAAGGGTTGTGGCATTAGGAAGGTTGAGAGGCACTGCTACAGGAGCTCAGACTTGAAGAGACTACAGACTGACTAAAAATGAGGCCTGTAATCCTAGCTACTTGGGAGGCTGAAACAGGGTTGCAGGTTTGGTGTGTGTCTGGGCAACTTACTGAGAACCTAGCTCAAAAAGGGAGCAGGGCTGGGGATACAGCCCAGTGGTGGAGCACTTGCTTAGCATGCAAGAGGCTCTAGATTCAATCCCCAATATTGCATAAATAAATAAAAGTGTCAAGATATAGGTAGAAACAAGGCTGGAATGTATGAGCAGAGAGAAAACAAAGCAACAACAACAACAAAAAAAAAAATTGACAACTCTGAGCCTGTAGAGCTAAACAGAAAACATAACAAATGCTTTTTACTTACTCATGACTAAATTCTATACGTACTTACATGAGAGAACGGACTCATTTGGTTAAAAATTTACCACTGACTGTAGCTATAAACAATGCTACCTCTTTTTACATTTATTTATTTTGTGTGTGTGTGTATGTGCTACAGAGCACACATGGAGGTCAGAAACAACTTCCAGGAGTCACTCCTCTCCTTCTACCATATAAGTTGGGTACTCACACTCAGGCAATCAGAGTTGGTAGCAAGCACTTTACCCACTGAGCCACTCACCAGCTCAAAAAAGTTGCTACCTTTGAAATAAAATCCTCAGTTTGAATAGAGATATTCAATTCCTGAAGTCTTGTTTTTCTGTCAATGGAAAAATCCCAGGAGGCTGAGGAAGGAGGATCACTATATACATAGTCTGGTCTACCTAAGTGCCTCAAAAACAAATGATAAAGTGAGGTGCAGGCTGGTTGTGGAGGCGTGGCTCTCATTACAGTCCTGAGAAGGCAAAGGAAGGAAACTGGGGAGTTTAGGCTAATCCCAGATACATGAGACCCTGTCTCAAAAGCAAACAAGTGAAAAGGAAGGGGTGGCTATGGGAGAGAGTGAGCAAAGTAAAGCTGTAAATATGAGTATGTACACGTATTTGTCTCTCTGTGTTCATAAAAATGTCATAAATGGGCAGGGCAGTGGAGGCACAGAGGCAGGCGGATCTCCGTGAGTTGGAGGCCAGCCTGGTCTATAGGGTGAGTTCTAGGATAGCCAGGGCTACATAGATAAACCTATCTCAAAACCAGCAACAAAACTAAACGGTCATAAATAAAACCCATTATTTTGTATATTAAAATGTAACAAATATATTACTAAAAACAAAACACAACTCACCTATGTAGGGTGGTACACACCTTTAATCCCAGCACTTGGAGGCAGAGGCAGGTCGAACTCTGTGAGCTTGAGACTATCCTGGTCTACACAGTGAGTTCCAGCCCATGCAGTGCTATAGAGAGAGAGACCTGTCTTACAAAAACAAAATTTCAGCCAGGCAGTGTTAGTACACACCTTTAATCCCAGCACTCTGGAGGCAAGAGGCAGGCGGATCTCTGAGTTCAAGATCAGCCTGGTCTACAAGAGCTAGTTCCAGGACAGCCTCCAAAGCCACAGAGAAATCTTGTCTCAAACAAACAAACAAAATCCTGCCAAAAGTACTGGCTCAGGCCTATAATCCTAGCATTTGGAAGGCTGAATTGATGCAAGTTTAGAATTAATATGGGCTTTATAATTAAAGATTAACCCAGGCTATAGTGAGACCCCCGTTTCAGAAAACAAACACAAATTAAGAAAAACCCTACTATAAAAAGGGCTTTCAGCCTGGTTGTGGTGGTGCACACCTCTAATCCCAGCATTTGGGATGAAGAGGCATGTGGATCTCTGAGTTCAAGGCCAGCCTGATCTAGAAATAGAATTCTAGGACAGCCAGGGCTACAGAGAGAAACCTTGTCTCAAAAAACAAGACAAAAAAACCAAAAAGGGCTTTTATGCCTCATTTTGTATTGTTTGTTTTAATCTATCCAGCCTGTCATACCTCTTTTTATAATATTTAAAGAATAATTTTAGCCCAGCATGGTGGCACATATCCTTAACCCAAGCATTTAGAAGGCAGAGACAGGCAGATCTCTGAGTTTGAGGCCAGCCTGGTTTACATAATGAGTTCCAGGACAGCCAGGGGTATGTAGAGAGATCCTGTCTCCAAAAACCAAATAAAGACTAGTGTTGCGGCCCCATGGAATCCCAGTCTTTAAGGAATCCGTAACATTTAAACTCTAGGCTAGCACAGGCTCACCACTTCTTAATATAGCTGATGACTTAGGGTCCTGACAGGTGGAATGGCGACTACCTACCACAGTGACAGATCTAAGCCGGCCTTGGCACCCTGTTGCTCTGCTGTGCTTATCTTCCATTACTGCAATCCTCCCCTTTAGCCTAGTTTATGTTTGTCCTGTCCTCGTGATCTGAAAAACTCACATTCCTACTGTTCAGTATGTAATTTTTTTTACCCTTGAATGCTCTTTCTTTTTTATCCCATTGGATACTATCTAGTGTCTCTCCTAAGTTCTGCCTTGCAGTATTCATATGAAGCCTGCCATTCACTCACCATAGAGTACGCAGCCAGGCCTTCTGTGTCAGTTTAACAAGGTTCTGCCCTGTGTCTACAGCAAGTAAGAACTCCACTGTTCTACTTTTGTACCTGCTGCAGGTTTAAGCAGGCATTTCAAGCTATAGCTCTAATTTTATCTAATTTTATGTTTTGCCTCCATGCATGTATGTATGTATGTATGTATCTGGTGCCCACAGAGATCAGAAGGGGACATTGAACCCCTTGGAAGTGGAGCTATGGATGGCTGTGAGTCACCCTGTGGGTGCTGAGAATTGAACCCCGGGTCCTCTCCAAGAGTAACAAGTGCTCGAAACCATTGAGCCATCTTTTCAGCCTCCGCAAGCTACAGCTCTCTATCTGTCTCTCAACTGAACACTGAAGCAGGGACATTCATCACTTGTATTAATGTTCTAACAACAGGCATGTAATATTATAGTACTTTCTTGATATTCCCCAACCTCCCCAAACCTTGGAAAATGATATTACATCAGGCATTATTGTTACTATATTGTTATAATATTGTCATTGTTATACAGAAGCTGAGGTTTAGTCTAGCATGGGGTGGGGGGCATATGGATATATTCCTAGTTACTCCACAGGCCAGTGGCTTGAACCAAGGAATATTAACAGCGGCCTGGAAAAAAAATATACTGTCTCAAAAAAAAAGGGGGACTGGTGGGAGGGGGTAGAGGGGAAAGGGAAAGAAAGAAAAGAAGGAAACTGAACGATCTCAACCAGCTCGTAAGTACAGTGAAGATGGCATCCAAAATCTAGGTTCAACCAGCTGCCAGTAGAATATTAAGATTCTTACCCCTAGTAAGGGCCTTAGATACTAGGAAAAGTCTCAGGAAAAGACTACATTGGGGCAGTGATTCTGAGGTTCAATAATAGTAACGAACAAATTAACACAAAACCAACACCAGAGGCCTGCTTATGTCTGTTTAGTCGCACGTGGTTTTCTTTGGTTTGGAAAAAGTGATATGTCCTCTAAGCCTTTGTCATTTCACTCACCTCTCCTAACCTGGCTTGTCCAGCCTCTCAGGTCTAGGCGACTGGACGCTGGAGGCCAAAGGCTGCCCAAGCCGGGGTGACCTCGGAAGCAGAACCTTGGCCCAGAGTGTTGCTGCTAACGGTGAAAGATTGAGGCGGTTGGACTGCGCCATTCCTGAAGCTACAGGGGCATACTTTTGGCATCGTCCTTAAAGATGAGTAGGAAAAGGAAAGTGAGGGCGATTGTCCTCCTCTCTGGTCCCTTCTCATCTGTTTTCTGGCCTTCCATCATGGGTCCCACCGGCTGATTTACGAAGGGATATCCTGTAGGACAGGAGAAGGAGAAAAAGTCACTGATGGCAATTACAGTAACTCGGTGGCTTATACAAACGAATTATTTACATATAATTTGCCTGTTGGTATACTTGTGGAAGTACGTAAAATATCAGTACATCCACATCGTGCCACTTATCCAGCCCACAGTACTTCCCTCTCGGCTTCCTTAGCAAAGCCTGCCTCT